AAGCGGTGCATCGGTGTGCACCCAGGATCCCAACCCAGGCCGCCAGCAGTGGAGCACGCACACTCGACCGCCAAGCCACGGGGCCGACCCTCTCATTTTTTTTTTGAACCTACTTACACGAGCAAAATACCTTATGTCTAGCAAAATACCTTATGTCTGCTGCTAACGAGATATTTATGATGTGACCTATAAATTCTTTGTCTTTTTTGTTAGCCGTAATCTTGGAGGAAAGCTAGGGGCCTCTGTCATTGGAATACTGGGGATAGAATACATGGGTGAACTGACCCAGTTCACTGAATCCCAGCTCCAGAGTCATTTTGGGGAAAAGAATGGGTAAGTGATTCCTAATACTTTTAAATCATAACCTTTATGGAGATGCTAAATTCAAATATAGACAAAAGCATCTAGTAAAATCTAGACCTATCTTTAGGTTAATGTTTGTTCTTCAAGGTAATTTCATTGGTCTTTTTGCTTTAAAATATTAGATCACTATGGCCTATCAGTCTGGAGTAGTTTTCTCATGTACCTAAATAGGTTGATGGATAGGAACTGTTACTTTGAAGCTTGGATATATACAACATTTGTGTGTACTAAGATGCTGATATTCCCTTAAAATCCTTGTATTTAGGCTTAGTAAGTACCAAAAAACTTGAGGATATGAATCAATGGCTTGCTTGGCACTTTTCCAAAAATACAGCTGATGACTTGGCTTTGGAAAGCATAACTGGTGTCCCTCTCCTTGGCAATATATTGCACTGGAATTCATGGGGAAGGGCAGGGATTCTGTCAGAGGTGAGGTATACTTAATTTTGGACAAATTCTTCCTTTTTCATGAAAGGGATAAAAGGGTAGTATAATATAGGTATTTTGTTTTGTTTTAACAACAATAATCATTTGCTTTCACCTTAAACTTTTTTGCTGGTTTTATTAGTTCTTGGCTATATGCCATGTGCCGTGGGATTGAACATGATCCAGTTAAACCCAGGCAAATACCCAAAACCATTGGCTGCTGCAAGAACTTCCCAGCAAAAACGGCTCTGACAACCCCGGAACAGGTAGGCAGGCATTCTTGACAGAATATTGCCTCTTTTAAGGGGGTTAGGGGGTAGGTTTTGGTAGCTGTGGAAGGTTTAATAAGTTAGATGGGACCTTTATGCTGTAAAGTATGAAGGGAATAGAAGTCCTTTTTTTGTGTTGAAGATTGACTAAACTTGTGATTTATTATTTTTTCCTTTTTTTCACCTAAAAAAGAAATAAAATGGAACTGATTGAAGTTCGAAATGGAATTACTCATTTTTTGGTAGGTGGAAACTTGGAAGGCCTAGGATATTGTACCTCGAGTTTATGTCTTTTCTTTTTTCTCAGAGCTGGAACATGCCTGAAGTTCACCTGATGGCATGCCAGCAGGAAAAGAAAATGAAAATCTTGAGCTAGGGCAGGTCAGAGTACTGAAGACTTCTATGATCTGGGGATCCCTTGGTTATGGGGGAGCCTTTTTTGCACACTTCCATTTGGGCGAGAACTGAACAAATCCACCATCTAGTTCTATGATAAACCTAGAGTTTTTAAGTGAAAGATTAAAATCTCAATACTTTTTTAGGTACAATGGTGGCTTTTGCAATTAGCCCAGGAACTAGAGGAGAGACTAACCAAGGACCAAAATGATGTAAGATTTTCTTTCTTTTTTCCTGGGATGAGCTTTGGGATTTAAATACCAGTTGCTTCTTACCTTATGAAGTAGAAACAAAGATACAAAAAGACACCAGCCTAGGAAATTTTAAGAAATCGTTTATCTTTTTCCATAAAACTCAACATGATCTTTGAAAGCCTGGATCTTTGAACATAAGACCTCACTACCCCTGTCTCCCTCATTACCATTTGCCTCTACTTTCTTGTAGATTTCTTACCTAACTCCTGCTGCAACCCTGAATATACAGTGGTTCTTCATCAGAGCACTGAGCCATTAAGTAGGACAGTTAGGAAGTGGACTATAAATTATTGGACCTAAACATAGTCCATCTGACGAAGAAGTACTGGCAGTTTTAGAGACAGAATATTACACCAAAATTTTGACATCTGATGATTAGTTTCTTTATCCTCTCCTTTTTTTCCCAAACAACTTTATTAGACATATATTTTATATACCATAAAATTGATCCTTTATAGTATACAGTTCAGTAGTTTTAGTATATTCCAGAGTTGTTCAACTATTCCAGTCAATTTAAGAACATTTTCATCACACACACAAAGAATCCTATACCCATTAGGAGTTACTCCCCCAGCCCTAGGCAACCACTAGTTTGCTTTTGCTTTGTGTATCTATAGATTTACTATTCTGGACATTTCATATAAATGGAATAATATAATATGTGGCCTTTTGTTACTGGCTGGAAATCTTTCAGATAACATAATATTTTCAAGATTCACCCATATTGTAGCATGTATCAGTACTTTATTCCTTTTTATGACTGAGTAACATTCTGTTGTATGGATACACCACATATTGTTGATCCATTCATCAGTGAATGGATATTTGAGTTGTTTCCACTTTTCGGCTGTTATGAGTAATGTTGCTATGAACATTCATGTTCAAATTTTTGTGTAGACATATGTTTTCATTTCTCTTGGGTATATACCTAAGAGTAGAATTGCTGGGTTACATGGTAACTCTAAGTTTAGCATTTTGAGGAACTGCCAGACTATTGCTGCACTGTTTTACATTCCAAGAAATATAAGCGAGTTCTAACTTCTCTAGATCTTTGTTATTTCTTTTTTTATTTTAGCCATACTAGTGGGTGTGAAGTGGTATCTCACTGTGGTTTTCAGGTGCTTATTGGCCATTTTCTTACCTTCTTTGGAGAAATGTCTGTCGAGATCCTTTGCCCATTTTTGAAATGGGTTATTGTCTCTTTATTATTGAGTTTTAAGAGTTCTTTATATATTCTGAGTATAAGTCCTTTGTCAGATATATAATTTGCAAATATTTCCTCCCATTCTGTGGGTTTTCTTTTCACTTTCCTGATGGTATTGTTTGATGTGTTTGCTGTGTCCTCTCCTGTTGAAACATCTGGGAATCCTACAAGTCAACTGTACCCTATCATGAATCATCCAAAACCACCGGTTTGTCCCTTTTTAGCTGAATTGGTGGTGAATGTTCTTTGGTAGACAACATAAAGAGGGATATGATCCCAGTTGTGTTATGGGCATATTGACTTTGTCCACTAGGTGTCACTCTGTTCTCCTCTCTCTATAATAAGCCCCTGGGCTTTTCTTCCCACTTTGTATCCATAGGGATCCTGAAAATGAATCAATCCTTAAGCTGCCAAAAAGAATTGTGACATAGAAGATCCAGTCACTTCACTGTTTAAAATATTCTGGTGGCTTCCCTTCACACTAAGTCATGTGTGGATTTCTTTTCTCTTATTCTATAACCAATATGATTTGATGTCTGGCTACTTCTCTGACCTCATCTCCTATCCTCTCCCCTTACTCACTCTGCTCCAGCCTCCACTCCACTGGCCTCCTTCCCTTTTATTTAACACACCAAGTAAGCTCCCACCTTTGCACTTTGTACTTGCTGTTCCTTAGGTCTGGAGAATCTTTGCTCATATATTCTTAAAATTTGTTCCTTCACTTTATTCAGGTCTCTGCTCAAATTTCACCTTCTCCAAGAGGCATTCCTCAATTACCCAATCACATCAGCAGCCTCCATCACTCTCTGCCTTACTCTACTTTTTTCCATAGCAGTTTGTAGTCATTTCTATTACATGCCTACTTGTTTATTACCTGTAGATCCTACTATAAGGTAAGATCCATGAGGGCCTGGACTTTATTTTGTTCTCTCCTGTATCTCCAGACAGTGTCTGATACATAGTAGGCATTTAGTTATAGTTGAATGGTTTTAGTTAACAAGGACTCATTTGTAATTGCCAATTTGTATTCTCTCAAGATATACAAATCTGTATGAATTGTACCTACAAAATGTACAAAAATACAAAATATATTTTTACCCAAAAAAATAGTTGCTGCTCTTGGCTTGTTTGCCTTAAGCGTATTTCTTCTCACTAGCATCTTTTGATTTAGAGGGGATCCCTATGTAGACTTTTCAGCTTTTTATATTTTAGCCTCTTGACCTTTATTTCTTAGTTTTCTTTACATCAATAGTATTTAGATGCTTACACTTCACTGAAAAGTGAATCGACGATCTTGTTCTCTGGAGGCAGGCTCACTACACTGTATCGTCTATAGAAGGGCTGTAAGAAGGAGGTGTTAGTAGAAACTTTTGCTCTTATTAAGCATAAGAGCATCAGGACAGATTAAAGAATAGATCCACTACTTAATCTTGACATTCTAGCTTGGAACTTCCTTTCAGACAATTACTTACATGAACCCTTCCTTCAGTCACAAAATAGAATATAGTACTGTAGGTATTTGTTATAATCATCCTGCATGGACACTAGAAAAAACATTCAGGAGTCCATTTTCATTTATTCTGTCCTGTTCCCATCACCTGTCAAAATATCCTAGATATTCTAATATTCCATCATCCAAATTATTATGTCTTCTCCAATTACTTCTTATACCTGGAAATAGCACAAAATTTTTTTTAAATTTTAAATTAAACTTGAGTATTTCCAAACCATTCTGTCACCCTGATTCGTTTAATTTCCTCTTATGCAGTTCAGTATATAGAATCCAGATGCTCATGGTAACTTTAGTTCTAGTCTCAATCCTTTTACACCCACAGAATGACAGGGTGGCCACCCAGCTGGTTGTCAGCCTTCGTGTACAAGGAGATAGACGTTACAGCAGCCTGCGCCGCTGCTGTGCCCTTACCCACTATGATGCTCACAAGATGAGCCATGACGCATTTGCTGTCATCAGGAACTGTAATACTTCAGGAATCCAAACTGAATGGTGAGTTTCTTTCTAGCTTGTCTTCTCAGATGAGATTTATACTCTGTTCTTGATCTAAAACAAGTGGGCATATAAACTTTCCAGCTGAGTAGGTTCTTTGTGACTCTGGCTAGCAGGAACTATTACAGAGGGGAATGGTCATGCACTAAGGCGAGAGAACATAGTAGAAACACTAGAAACAAGGCAGCTCAGCTGCAGTTTTGTTTTTTTTTTTTTGTGAGGAAGATCAGCCCTGAGCTAACATCCATGCCAATCCTCCTCTTTTTGCTGAGGAAGACTGGCCCTGGGCTAACATC